TATAGCAGTGAATAGTTTAAAACTAAGATAATAATGGAAATTTCTGATAGTCTAAACTACTGCTAAGCATTTTTAGTTTGTGATTTAATAATTTTGCTCAGCCTTATTCTTACTTTTACTTACATAAGTAATAATATGTTTATTTTTATTATCATCTAATTGAGATAATACTGCTCCTAGTCCTACTTCTGAGGCATCAATGTAGAGTATGAATTCCTTAGTAAAGTCTGAGTATTAAAAGATGGGAAACATAATTAACTTTTCTTTTAATTTATCAAAAAATTTTTGTTGATCTTCAATCCAGTTATATGAAGCATTCTTCTTTAACATCATAGTTATAGGTTTAGCAATTTGAGAGAATCTCTTAACAAATTTATGATAATATAAAAATAATCCAAGAGTTGCTCTTAATTTAGTTAATCCTTGAGAAGCTAGAAGTTTTTTAATTTTTCTAATTTTATCAGAATCAAGTTGTAAACCGCTTCTTCTTATGATATGTCTAAGAAATGGAATATTTGAAAGGCAGAACTAATACTTTTTTAATTTAATCATTAAGTTTGCCTTTTTAATTGCTTCAAATACTATTTGTAAATATTGCAAATGTTCTTTATAGATTTTTGAATAGATGATAATGTCATCTAAATATACTGCTACAAACTTATAAAGGTATTCTTATAGAACAAAATTTATGAGACGTTAGAATGTTTTAGAAGCATTTTTTAATCCAAAAGGCATTCTCTTGAATTCATAAAGACTATATTGACAGATAAAGGCAATCTTTTCACAATCACTCTCTTCTATTTCTACTTGCCAATATCTACTAACAAGATCAAGTATAAAGAACTAACTTGTATTTCTAAATTTCTCAAGCAAATCATTGATAAATAGAAGAGGATAAGTATCTCCTTTAGTTATAAAATTAAGCTTCCTGTAATCAATACAAATTTATGCATCTTCAGTTTTTTTTGATATAATAACAACTGGAAAAGCTCAAGAGCTTTTCGACTTTTGAATAATATTATTTTCTTTCATTCTTTTAATTTCATCTTGAAATTTTAATTTTACAGGATCCTTTAATTGATATGCAGGACTAGCGATTGGTTCATAATTCCCTGTAGGAATTTGATATTAAAATAAAGTTGTATGACCAATTTTCGTCTGACTAAAGGCACAGATATTCTTATTTTTTTTTGATAAATTGCTCAAAAAATTCTTGTTGGTTGATATTTAAGGGTCCAACGTGTAAATTTTCTTGAATACTTCACTCATTATTTTGGGATTTTAGTTGCTCAGCTTGTACTAAGAATACTGCTAGATTGTTATCCCAAGGGTTAACAAATAATTCCTTTTTATCGAAGTCAAACAGACTTTCTTTGTCAGAGATATCTTCTTCACTGTGAAAGTAAAAAATATCCCTTTCATCAAGATCCTCTTCTTTATATTGATCATATGTTAAATCTTCAATCGTATCAATTAATTCATTTATGAAGGTATCAGATTCTTCATCCAATTTAATAGAAAAACTGGCATAGAAAGTGATTGAAACTGAAGCAGATTTTGTAAGATATCTGAACTTCACTTTTTTTTCATCAAAATTAAAGATAGCTTTAGTTCTTTGAATCAATCTGTTTTTAATAATAGATTTTCATCAGGAGGTTCAATAACTTGTAAAGTTATTAGCATTCGAATAGATCCAATTGTCATTTTAACAGTGTTGATTTTTCCTAGAGCTCTTACTTTTTTTTCATTCACGGTATTGATAATAATCTTTGAAAGTTTATCAATTTTTAAATGAAATCACTTAATTAAACTACTTGTAATAATACTAATAACTGCACCAGAGTCAAGAATAGCTTGCACATTACTGTGATTAATTTGAATAGTACACCTAACAGCAGTTGTAGGCATATCATCATTATCACTCACATACTCATCATCAAGGTCAACATTATTAATGTAAAGAGTGCTACCAGCTTTGATGATCTAAAATCTGTTAATGAGTATTTATGTAGAAGTTTTAAAGAAGCATGCATATATTTAGGCTTGCTTCAAGATGATGCTGAATAGAATACATGTTTACGAGAGGCAAGTCAATTACAGACAGGATAACAATTATGACACTTTTTTTAATGATTCTCCTTTTTTGCTAACTAATAGCACCTGAAGATCTATGAAACACGTAAAAATCAGCATTATGTGAAGATATTCTATATTGTGATTGTAAACTTGCCCAAAATCAAGATAGTGAAGTAAGTGATTCTATTGAAAATGAGGCACTTAATCAATTAGAACATTACCTACATTTAAATGGAAAATCATTGAAAGATTTTTCAAATATGTCACTCCTTTTGGAAATAGTATCAGATATTTATAATAGTGTCCAAGACTTAGATCAACTAATTCACGAAGAAAGATCATATAATACTGTACAATCAAAAAGTGAATTAGATCGAAATATATGATTACTAAATGAAGACCAATATATCATATATAATGCTGTTATCCAAGCAATTCAAAATAGATCAAAGTATTTTTTTGTAGATGATCCTAGTGGTACCGGAAAGACCTTTCTTTATAATACCTTACTCGCTAATATTAGATCAAATAATGATATTGCATTAGCTGTAGTATCTTCTGGAATTGCTACATTATTAATAAGCAATGATAGAACTGCACATTCCCAGTTCAAAATTCCTATTAACTTCGATCCGTCTTCAATATACAACATTTCACGAAGAAGTAAAGAGGCTCATTTGATCAACATAGCAAAACTTTTTGTTTGGGATAAAGCTCTGATGATGCATAAATTTGCCTTCGAAGCTGTTGATCAAACATTTCGTAATATCATCCAAATAGATGAATCATTCAGAAGAAAAGCCTTTGTTTTTGAAGGAGATTTTTGCCAAATTCTACCAGTTATACCACATGTATCCTGCACAAATATTGTCTCAGCAAGCTTGCATCAGTCTGCTCTATAGAATCATATGGAATTGATGAGATTAACGATTAATATGAGATTATATCAGACGCACAATTTTCAAGAAAACCAAAATTAAAGAAATTTTGCAAAATTTCTTTTGGAAATTGGAAATGGTAAATACCCAATTAACCTGGGCATGGAGAATATTATAACCCTTCCTTCAGATATGATAATACCTAAAGGAAATTTGATAGACCTTATCAACTTTGTTTATTCGAACTTAGCACAAAATTCTGGCAATGTAAATTATATGGTTGGTAGAGCCATTTTAGCGCCAAAAAATGTTGATGTAGAAAAGATTTCAGATATCGTGATGGATTAGTTACCAAGCAATGTTTGTTTATATCTATACCAGTGCAGACTCAGTAGATTCTATAGAAGGACAACCTCAGATATATTCACCTGAATTTTTGAGATCTTTAAGGATTAATGGACTTCCTTCTGGTGAATTGAAGTTGAAGTTGGGAATGCCTATTATACTTTTGCGAAATCGAATCCCTCAGAAGGTCTTTGTAATGGAACAAGGTTAATTTGCCGTAGCCTTCAAAGCAAAGTAATTGATACGGAGATTATCACAGGATCTCACATCAGAAAGCATGTTTTCATACCCCGCATAACATTGACTCCCTCTGATACTAATTTACCATTTATTTTGAAACGACGTCAATTTCCGGTCCGTCCAGCATTCTCTATGACAATTAATAAAGCACAAGGCCAAACATTAAATAAAGTCGGAATCTACTTACCAGAGCCGGTCTTTTCACATGGTCAATTGTATGTTGCCCTATCAAGAGTTACCTCATACCAATCCATCAAAATTCTCATAAATGATACCAATAAACCTTTGCAGATAGAAAATGTTGTCTATACTGAAATTTTCCAAACTATTTAATTTTAAATTAAATTATATACTAATTTTTTACGATGCTATATGCATATCAATGATTTACATATTTACTAATTCGGATGATCGGTAAATCAGGAATATGACTACGTTTTGCGATGTTCCACTATTTATTTCGATGAAAAGTAGAATTTATTTTTCCTTATTATATATAGATAGATTAATCATCTAATAGCAGTTAACTCCCATTGCTTGCAACGGGCTATCGACTAGTAAGTATATAATTAAATTTAGATTGATATATAAAAATTTTGCATTATAATTAATTTAATCATCTAATAAAAAAAACGTCAGTAATTACAGTCAGAACTCGTTATAACGAACTCTTGATATAATGATCACTTTAAACGATTTTTTTAAAATTTTATGTTCTATATAAAAATCGTTATATCAAATTTATAAAACGATAAAAATTTTATAATAAACCGGGGAGGATCGTTAAATCAAAGTTCTGACTGTTTACAAATATTATTACTATTAAAAATTTTTATTATATCTAATGTCAAACTTTTTTATGCTTCAGTTTTAAAATTGTTATATATAGTGAAGATAGAAATTTTTATTCAAAATTCGTTTAAAAATATTTGTTTGCAAATAAATAAATATTCGAAATTATATAATTAGTATTTGAATATTCGAAAATCATTATCGAAAATCAAAAAAAAATTTACAATTAAAGGAATACTTACCAATCAAAAAATAAATTGAAAAATGAAAAAAAGACAAATCAATCGAAATGAAACTTGATTTGATTCTCGTATTTTTTTAAAAAAACTTTGACAATATGAATAAGTTTAAATACATTTTTCTATATCCAAAACTTGTCCATCATTATGCTAAATGCTTATCCCGATTAATTATGCTTTTTGATTGGCAAAAACGTTGAAATAATATTTTTGATAGAGGAAAAGTGTAAATTTTAAACATATAAATTAGAATCTTGTCAAAGTAAATTAATAAAAATAATCATAATTTAAATCCTGCCACTGTAGTGGTTATTTCTTTTTATTAATTTTATTCTTATAATATCTATATGTACAGTATAAGTGTATATGTGTATACAGTATATGTTACTATAAAATACAAAATAATAAGATAATGGCTTTGTCTGATTTCTTAAATCTTGAGCCTAAAACCATAATCATTTCCTCCTTGATTCTCAAAGATAGATCCTAATAACGTTTGATCTTCTTCATCTAATTTTTCAACACCGTGTGCAACGTTAGGAGCTGATGGGCTTGTATAAGATTTACGTCTAGCAATAATTACAAGAATTGAAATAAGCATATGTCTTTTTTATTTTATTTTTAAAAAAATATTTGCTTCTTATTATTAATTTACCTCTCACCACCGCCCTTTGATGGCCAAGTTGGAAACATTTCAGGATCTTTTGGTAAGGGACTTTCTCTAAACAACCATATCCAATTCGTTATATTAGTCAATTAAATATATACACCAAAAGTTTTAGTATCTTCAACGTACGTGAAATACGGATGTTTTAAAGCCTCTTCAGCAGTTATTCTTTTTGATGGATCATAAGTCAACAGTTTCGCCATTAAATCAAAACCATTCTCCGTCAAGTATGGAAATCGACTACGTAGCGTATTGTGTCTAGGGAATAAAATGATTAAAGCAACATAAATCTTTGAGATTAATGAGATTACTCTATAATTTATTAAACTTACGGTTGCTTTATAAAGGGAATATTTTTGGCATGAGGTAACTTTGAAAACCCAGACCATATTTTTTCATTGGGCATACCCAATAATTTAAAAACCTATGAAAAAAATTTAAGTAATTGAATTAATTATTAATAACTATAAACCATGATCTCATTTTCAATCAAACTAATCAATCACCTTGGTTAATTGGTCGATCTCGGTCCGTCCTGGCAGCAATGGTTCTTTATTTACCAATTCTCCAAATATACAACCAACAGACCACATGTCTACGGCTGTAGAATATTTCTTTGTGCCCAATAACAACTCAGGAGCTCTAAACAAATAAACATATTTTTGATCGGTAAATATATATATAAATATATATATATATACACTTTTAAATAAATCATAAACCCACCGATACCAGAGAGTAACGACAAGTTCAGTCATTGGACCTAATGGACTACCATACTTTCTAGCCAAACCGAAGTCTGCGACTTTTATTTGACCTCGATTATTAAGCAAAAGATTAGAAGTCTTCAAATCACGATGAATGATCCAATTATCGTGCAACATCGCAACAGCCGATAAAAGTTGAAGCATTATTGTTTTGACTTCTGATTGTAAAAAAGGAACTTGCATATCCTCCATAAGACTTTTAAGATCATGTTCTATGAAATCCATTACTATAAAAATCCTTTAATCATAAAAGAGGATATGAACGAAATAGATAAACAAAACGATTGGAGATACAGTAAATACAAAGCAAATATTTAACGTACTGTGTCAATGTTTCACCAACCACAATTTCCCTCACGTTTACAATATTTGGATGCTTGGCCAAAAGTAATGTATGAACTTCACGTAAAGATGTGATGGGAAATCCATTTTTTTCTTTATCTAATTTGAGTTTTTTTAAAGCCACAACCTCACCTGTAGTTTTATCTCTAGCACGAAAAACTACTCCATAAGCACCTTCCTCAATCCTATTTAATTTTTCATAATTATCAACACTACGACATCCAGCAAGCATTGGAGGTGGTGGAGCTGGCGCAGGTTTTATAATTTTTTCCACAAATGATTGTGGTGTCGATTCAGGTGCAGGAGAAGACGTGGAGCTAATGCTCATATCATTAAGAGGTTCAGCTATAGGTGATATTGATTTTGTTGAAGGAGATTGATTAAAAGAATCTTCATTTGATACTTTTAATCTTTTAACATTTTCGTTGGTCTCTGGCTGAGAATATTGTTCATCTATTTCCGAATCAACTGATTTTTGAAATTTTTTAACATTACGTCTTTTCTTACTAAATCTTCGTTCGTTTTCAGGTTCTTCATGATCACTTTCAGATTCCCATTTTGATTTTTTAGCTTTAGCTTTTGGAGTGTCCACTGACTGAACTTCAGAATTCTCGTTGTTTTCTAAATTAGTAAGCTCAATGGGAGAAATAATACTTTTTTCTTCCATTTTTTCAATTTTTTTTTTTATTTTTTTTTTTTTATATATTAAGTAAATAAATGATCGGCAAAATCGTTACGTAACTAATCCGATCTTGTATTTAATTTTGAATCCTTATATAACAATCGATATACTATTACAATATGAAACCTACTAAAACCAAATCTAAAAAAAAAAAAAAAACTCGGCAACAACTTGTTACAAATTCCCAGACGCAGGCTCCTTTTTCACCTATCGCTCAGGATTTGCTTACTTCATCTGTGAAAGTCACCCATACTACATCTTCAGTTTCACAAAAGAGTGGATCCAAGACGAGGGATACAAACTCGCAAATTGAAAGAACTCGCGAAAAATCTTATGAACTGGTATCTTTTGCCGATAACGAAAATCCGCCTAATAAGAAAAATGCCACTGAGCCTAATTATAAATACTCGCATGAATTAAAAGATATTGTCATAGTCAAACCATCTATAAACGAAAAAGCTAAAGATGTCGCCCAAACACCCTTACGGGTGATTGTGGCAGACATGATTATAGATCTTCCACCCAGCGCGTTGGAAAATATTGTATCGGGTGTTAAAAATTTTCTTAACGGCGTTTGTATGCACGAGCTAGAACAATTTGAAGGGCTTGTTCTATCTTATAATAACATCGAATTCTGTGATCACTCCGGTATTATATTCGAAGATTCACCATATGCTCACTTTTTCATCCGTGCAGAATTTCTGGTATATAATGCATCAGTAGGGTACAAATTATGTAAGCGTTATAGACATTCTATCAAATTCAATAATATTCATTTATTAACTGATCCATTTATTTCAGTTGGAAAAGTTGCAAACCAATCGCTTTCACATATACATCTTTGCCTTTACGATCAATTCTATGTCAAAGTCCCTCGCCATCTTATCCCCCTTGATGTATTCTTGTGGAAGGATAATGATGAGTTTTATGATGCAATGTTTCTTGATCAACAACTCAATCTAGATAGAATGTACGCTGAGGGTCAATGGGTCTTCTCCGACACTGGGGCAATTATCAGAGAAGATTCTTGGCTTGAATTTGAAGTGATGGGGTATGTTATAAATTGATTTATTTTAATTAATTTTTAATTTTTTATACTATCTCTAATAATTTCTTTTATCCAATGTATTAAAAAATTTAGGACTGACACGAATAATGGACAATTGTATCTTATTGGTTCACTCCTTCACTATAGTAAGAATAATTATGATCAAGAAGAGGCTTCTTTGAAGGTAAAGGGAAAGGAAAAGGCTACCACCGAGGAAGATAATCAAAATATACTTACAGATAAGTCTCAAGGTTATCTAATATGAAAGATTTATTTGTCAACCTTTAATTTTAATATATATATACAAGCCAGTAAATAAAAATCATATAATTTACCTAAAGTTATTAATAAATAATTATTATATAGACTTATAGAATTAATATATTTAATAAAATATAAAATTTTAATTTTAAAAAGATAATTAATTATTATACAAAAATATAGATTATATTTATTTCATATATTAAAAAATGTTTTAATTCAGTTATTATATCTCATAATTATTATTAAAATAAAATGATTTTATTTATTTTTATAAAATAATATATTAAAACTTTTATCTGCATATTGTTATTTATGCTTAAATTTTTTTTTTAATAATGATCATTATTATATTTCTTATATATCTTTATTATTTTTCTTTTTCTTTATATTTCTATATTAATTTGAAATGTTTTATATCCATCATAGCCAACAGAATCCAAAAATCGTTGAACTGAACCACATTCTCAAAACAAAGAGATAAGTCTTTTAGCGTGTCTTCAGAATTAGAACATAAATGCCTAAAAATGATCTGTTATTATAATATATTTAACACAATAAGAATATGACAAATGTTTCCATACCTAATACTTTGAATTATTAATTCTTCTAGATTTTGTCAGAATAGATCTAACACACATGGACTGTAAATACCAAGAATCATGAAAAAATTTTTAAACTCTTTGGTATATTTCAAATTTTGTATGGATATGTTTTTTCTTTTCAAATTGTGGCTTGTAACATGACATTGCAAAGACTGGCTTTTTATCAAAAGCACCTTGGATACCTTTTTTTGCTAATTTATTCAGACATCAGATGCTGTTTTAGATTCGTTATCTTTGATTATTGACCAAATAATAGCAAGGTTAGAATATTTCAGATAATTTTTTAGAGGATCATTTTCAAAATAATGTTTTGGGATATATTTTAACTTTAAGATAGGTTTTACTATAGCAATTCGATTTTGTAAAATTTTATTGCATTTTAAACTAAGACAGTTATTACAAATATTTTAATTGGTATATCCTTCACACTTCATAGAACGAATACAGTTACCTTGATTGAATTAATAAAAAATAATTAATCAAAATTTTTCACGTGATTATATAATTATTTAATTGAAAGCAGTGTTAACTTACAATTACGATCAATTTTTCATACTGCTTCTGCATATAATTGATGATTTAATTAACATTTTTGTGAACAATCCAGCTTCTTACGTGAAAAATTCCTTGGAAAAAGGTCACGAAAAAGCTCTTTTGCAATAACTTCAATTTTTTTAGTCTCACCAAACTGAGCAAGAATACAACTGATATATTTATAGATAATATTAGATCTAAGACCAGGGCAAGGTTTTCGTTTATTGTTTGATGGAATTATCATATCATCATCGCTTAAAACTTCGTTTTCACAATCATTTTTCACATCACTTATTTTGTTAACATTAAACAAATCATCACCATCCATTTTTTCATTATTATCACTTTTCCATTCTTCAGTACTGCTAATACTATTATTATTTCTAATTTTCTTTGATTTAGAAACTAGATTTAAAATAATTTAGGTTTGACTGAACTAAAGATGGCGTTGTAACATTATGACAATTATTTGTCATCTGTTGCAACTTAAATTTTAATAATATTGCAATTCGTTGCAATATTGTGATACTTATTTGTCACCTGTTGCAACTAATTAAAGCGCCATCTTTAGACTGAACTTCTTGTTTAGCCAAACATCCTCTATCATTAACATGAATATTTAAAAAGTTTCATCATAATAATAACTCAGTTTAATAGCTTTACCACAATGACAAATAACCTTTTTTATTCAAATTATATAGGTACAATATAGATGTTTTGCTAATCTTTCTTTGTTATATTTCTAAAGTAATGGCATTTCTCAAAAGAAATGTATGTTATGATGAAAAAATTTTTATAATCCATTTTTTAATTTGATTTCACATTCTACTAAACTAAAAAAACATACAAATTATTTAGTTAATAATTTTAATTAAAGGATAAAGTATTCTGAAAAAAAGAATTGCTATAAATAAATCTCTTATCTGTGAGTAATTTTAATAAATTTATGAATTTTTTCATTTTTTTTTTAATAAATAAATATATATATATATATTTTTATATTTATATAATATCGTTATACAAAATAAAGATCTAACTTACTTTAAAGATCATTATTATTATATAAATAAATATCTGACTGTCTAACAATTACCTAATTGGTTATATAAATCTAAATATATAACTTATCAAAAAATTATATAGTAAGTTTATATAAAATCAGATTCCAGTTTTATATGTATTATTTAGAATTCTGCTATAATCAGTCTCAGTATTGTTTTCTTTTAAATAATATTTACCATATTCATTATTGTTAATACAATTATTATTTTCCAAAGGCTCTTTACTTTTAAGTTAATTTAATATGTTTTAATATGGAATTGTTAATAAACTTAAAAATATTATTATATTAAGTTGAATAAAAAAATTTGCCCATCTTCATATAATTGGATTAGTATCCTATTAGTCTATTCGCTCCTGTACTTTTGAAAATAAAATTTTAACTTGATCATAAGTTAGATCTAAAAATATGAATACTACAATGATATCAAATTTAATATTATTTTTATTTTGTAACTCCTCTTTACTAAAGCTTTTTGCAAAATAATTTCAATAATAAATAGTGATTTTTGATCACTATCATCTATTTTCTTTCAGAAATCATGTCTTGCTTTGTAATTCTTTCAGACTTTTTCTATTATACAATCTCTGCAAGATTAGTAAATTGATTAATTTTACACGAAAATAAATTAAAGATGTTATAAATAACTTCTTTTATTTTTCGAATATAAAAACTCCTATAATTGTGAAAATATTCTAACATTTAGTATATATAATAAAGAATAAATAGATATATTTGAACAAAAGATTAATTAGATATCTTTATTTATTATAATATAACATATTAATAAATAAAATAAATTAATAAACAAAATAATAAATATACAATTAAATATCCAGCCTTTTACAAATTATTCCATTCATTTAAGTTGACAAGTTCCTGTATCTTTTGAGAGAAATCTGCTTGAACTTATAATTTAAAAGCTTATTTGACTTCTGTATTTAATGAATTCTTATTTATTTAGAATAGTTTGTAACAAGCTGTTGTCATTAGAGTTTATCAATGTAAAAGAGTTAAATTTTTAAGGATAAAAAATATTCAATATATTTTAATTAATAATAGCCCATTTCAATACTAACATCCTACTATATATATTTTATGTCTCTTCTCTTCAATCATTATTTTGCACCTCCTCCATATATTTGTTGAGTCATCATAATTGATCCTGATGTTAAGATTATAAGAATATTTTGCAAAAGTTTTTGATTCTCATGAACTTCACATTTCAATTCTTCATTACTCTTTTACAAATTATCTATTATTATATGTTGCATTAGCTGCTCTTCAAGTATTTTTTCAAGAGTAGATTAAATGTTGGAATTGAGTTTAAAATCTAGTTAATAATATAAGAAAAAAATATTATCATGATATTAATTTTAAATAAATTTGGAAAAATAGATCATATATTATTATTATATGATTAATATGATTTTGATGATAAAAAGATGCATATCATTAATTTACATATGACAATCACTAAATTTACAATACAAATGTAATATAATTACAAAACAACTTACTTTTATTAATAAATTATTTATTTCTAATTCTTCTGATTTTTTACGCTTAATACTTTTATTTTAAATTATTCGTTATGTTAGATAAAATTCCATAAAATAGAATATAGAAATTAGAAAAATAGAAATTAAAAATACTTACTTGATATTTCTGAGTTGCTAGCTTCAGATATAGATGATAGTAATAGGGTATTGAAAAGACCTTTTGCTGATTCTGATAAAGCAAATCTCATTGTAGATTGTTATTAAGATTTGTTAGATAATACTGTTTCTGATCGTCTCTCAGATACCTTTAAAGATTATTAAGATAAGCTAACGTGATCAAGTTCGACTGGACTGTGTAATTTCAATTGTTCATTATAGACTGCATCTTGATTTGACTTTTGAATCTGTTGTTAAATTAATAGTTTCTGTTAATGAATAATGAAGTATACAAGCTAGTAAAAAAAAATATACACATTTTTTATTTCTAATTATTGAATTAACTTCAGCATCTAGTTGTATATATAAAAGTGACAAATTTTGTGATATCATATCCTATGATATAGATGCTATGTGAATACAATACCATCCTTCTGTTTTTTATTGATAGCTTTAGGTTTCTTAATCTATAATTTAATGATAAATGGTGTTAAATATATAACTATCTCAAAATTTTTTTTTTTAAAAACAATTTTTTTTTTATTTATAACTATTTAATTTTAAAAAAATTTACCATAGATAGGGTAGGCAATTTTTTAGTTAAAAACTTATTAAATATATCTCTAAGAGACAAAGGTGATTCAGCAATAAGTTTATCTAATGTATTAGTAGTATTATTATCACTTTTCTTCTTTCTGCTGCGTTATGAATTTGAAGATAACATTGTTAAGTTTCTATTAAATTATTAAAGAATTTTGTTATTTTCTCTTTTTTATTTTACTTTAAATTGAAAAAAGAAAAAAGAAAAAAAAGTATAAATGTGTAAAATACTTATACAATTGATTGATTATCAAGTTTTATCAATAGTTTAATATTTAGAATATTAAAGGATAAAATTATGTTACAAAACAATTCTAATTAAAACAAATTTATCAAATAATAGAAAACAATCATTATAATAAAAAAAGAATTAATTAGAACTTACAGTATATTATTGCATTTTACTTTTTACACTACCGCTTTACCTTATACACCTTTTGTTTTTTATAGAATAATACTTTTATTAATATAATTGATACTATAATTCAAATTTTTTTACTTTATAGAAAATGTTTACTTGCTTATTTCAGTAATATAAAAAAACCTTTTCACATCGAACTGCATTTTATGAGCATATAAAAATGCATTAAGGTCAGGCCTACTGGAAAATATTAAACAGAATTTCAAAAAATTATTATAATATTGTGAAAGATACAAATGTAGAATATCCTGATGAAAATATAATACAAGAGATGGTAATTTTTTTTTCTTATGAAGATCACAAATGTATTGATTATGTATTTTTATATAATAATTTAATTGTCCAGAACGAAGTGTAAGACATTATACTTTTAGAAGTTAGAGTGAAAATCTGATTATCATATAAGGTTTTTAGTTATCACACCACATATATAATAAGAATCAACAAATAACAAATAAGTCATACAAGGGAAAAAAATTTGTTAGCTGTTAGATTTTTTTTCTTTTGTTACATTTTTTACTGTTAAGTTTTTTATTAAATATTAGTTTTGTATTTTTGTTATATTTTTTTTATTATTATTAAAGTTGTACTTTTGTGTAATTCTTTATTGCTAAAAAAAATAAAAATCGTAATTTTGAAATTTAGAAATTTGAAAGAAATATTTTATTATATTTCTTATAACTTGTATCAATTTCTAGGTATCATGGAAACAAGTCATTTTTTTTCATTTTTCCTTTCTTGAAGTCTTTGATAGTCTTTAATGCGCTAGAATCTTTCAAAATTGAAAAGTTTGAAAATAATATCGCTCAAAGTGCGAACTTAAGACATTGTCACAAAGAAAAGACTAGCTGTAAACTCCTTGTTACTAATATTTACTATAGATTTTTGTAGTGTGAGCCTCTGGCTTTTATATATAATAATGATCCATATAAAGTGAATAGAAACTTGTAAACTTGAGCATAATTTTTCAGATTTATTTTTTCATGTATGTCAAATAGGTATAATTAAAATAACTTTTATACTATCTAAGGTGAAAATGGTAGGGCTTTTATAGTTATCAAAAGATACAAGAACTGTTATAGGAAGGAAAGGTAGTCCCTGATCTTTCTTGAACAAAATATCCTGAACAGCTTCTATTACACCATTGATTAAACTAGCTTTTGTTTACAAGTTTGATGTTAACATAACACATCTACCTCTTGCTAGCAATAATTGTGCTTTAAGGTCATGTATAATATCAGAGTTAGCTTTCTTGACTTCATTACCGCCTGTATGAATAGCGAGAATCTTAGCAATAGGAACGTTTAAGGACCTAAACTAGTTTATATTTATTGCATTAACATCGATCTACTTTATTAGTATATACGTTGTATTAGAGAATATTTCTTTTATTTCTGTTAGGTTCCTCCTTTCAAATTATATGATAAGAGTCTTCTAATCATCTAAAGTAGATTCTTCATCACGCAATCTTAAGAGAAGATCTCTAAAATTCTATTGCTCTTGAGAATCTTTAAATTGATATTGAATGACATCAAATTTGTATACCTTCTTGAATAAGTTGTATGCAGTAAGACTATTATTAGACAATAGAGTATTTTCTTTTATATTCATATACGTGATATACATTTCATTTTTCAGTAATTTCTGCTACTTTACTTTAGGATCTCTTCTCACGTTGCTTAGCAAGGTGTATTTCATGATATTCAGGCATTTCATTCTCTCTGAATTTATGTTTTTGAATAGTGTTAGAATTAATAGATTTATCACTCATTATTTTATCGATTAATAGATGCATGTTAATAAATTTCTTATAAAAAGTTTCACGTTCTTATTTTGTGATTTGTATGTAGCTTGATCTACTGCTAATTACATATAAGTATTGTTACAGTTACAGTTACAACATCGATCATAAGTGTTACATGCAAATTTTATTATATTGTTACATTTTGAAAAAAATCTGAATATACATTTTTTTAAAGTGCAAAATATTTTTGTTTTAAGATTGCATAGAAAAATATATGAATACTACTGCTTATTTTATAATTTTAACTAGTAAATTTCACTCTGGATTCACAATAGTTTTCATTGTCTAGTATTATAAAAGGAAGATAAACATGAAGATAATTTTACCGTAAATAAAATTGATGTAAATGAATGTGATGTAAATGAATATAATATTAATATCAACAAAGTATTAGTTGAAGCTGAAGAAGAACCTAATTTTGAACATATCAATAATTATATCTTACAAATTCCTGAAATAGTCTATCAAATAACTTCAATTGATACAAGATCTATTTCTAATCAAAGTGTTCTTCAATTTCTTGATGCTGCATATGCTGAATTTATAGATCTTGTATTGACACATCACTTTTCTAATTCAACTGAAAATGATATATTAAAGTAATTTTGAAAATATTATCTTCAAGAAAATATAGTTTTATTAGCAAATACAATATAAGAACGTGATTTTGTTAATTCTATAAATATAGAGCATTTATTATATCTTAAAACAAAAATTTTAGAATATGAAAATGAAGAGTATTACCTTTATTATCATCCTATTTTTGATGCTATTAAAGAACTTTTATCTAATGCTGATATTCTGAAATACTATCAATGGGATTTTTTACTAGAATATATTGTTAATGATAATAGTCATCATAAACATGTATATGAAGAACTATAATCTAGAATGTGGTGAAAATATGCTTAAAAGTCACTAGAACAAGTATAAAAAAGTTTTATCTATAATTTTATATTCTGACGCCACTACACTGGATTATCTTAGTAAAAGTTCAGAGCATTCTGTTTATTTATCACTAAGAAATATATCAACTTGGCATAGAAATAAATATGATACAAAAGTATTGTTAGGATTTTTACCTAAATTGAAACAAATTCATAATTGTAAAGATAATAAAAAAAGTTATGCATCTGCTAATAAAGTGTTATATCAACATTATTTTGATATCATAACACAACTAATTTATGAAAAGTTAGAAGGTAATAGCTTAGATATCGTAACTGATAATCAAATAATTTGAATTTTTTTGTTCCTTTTTGAATTTATTGGTAATCACCCTGAAGATGCTGTATTGACTTTAACTTACAATTCTTCTATATGTAAACATCTATGTCACATTTGCATAATTACAATTAATAAGTTGAACAAACCTGATTTGCCACATTTTTAATTAGAATTGCAAACACCTGATAATATGCAATCTGTTCTGGATGTTAATATTTGTCATAAATATTCTATTCATTTAACAAAAAATATTTTTTGAAAATTTCGGTAAGTACTATAATGCATTTTATTAATTAATATAAAAATAGACTAAATATATTTTTTTTTAATAGTAAATTAAACATTTATAGTGCTGCAATATCAGATCATATGCATTATTACGATTTAGATTTATTTAATTATTAAGTTAGTTTTACTTATAAATATATTCAACTATATTATAATAAACAAGGAATTGATAAATTTAATACACGTTTAACAGCAATTTCACATTTTCCTAAACTTAAACCTTTTAAACATAGTCTTGGTAATATTGCATATTTCACAGCAGCAGAATTTCAGAATATGATGAAGCAATTAATTTTTGTTATTGATGGTTTAATTATCGCAAAACACAAATCAAATTTAAGTTAAAATCAAATAAAACAATATGATAAATAACTTGTTGATTTATTCTTATCATAGAATAAAATATATATTTTTAGTTGTAAAAAAACCTTTATAAATTCAGAACTTAACAGTTTTCAGGTAAATTTGTAAATTTTAAGTTATAGATGAAGGATGAAACCCTTAATAACAGTCGAAACTTAGATGAAATTATATTAAAATCATAATAAGAGATACGACAAAACCCATTCGATACGACAAAAGCTAAAACTGTCGAAACTATATTAAAAATATAGAAAATGGTATGATGAAATTATTTTGAGAAAGTTTCAGCAGGCATCTATATTTTAAGTAAATTTGAGACTTGAATATTAAATTTTAATTTATTTATTATAGGAAATGATTACTAACTGGACAAAAAAATTCTTACCCTATTTGCATTAATTATAGATATTGAAATGAAGTATTTAAAATTATACAATTGGTATTATTATATTGTCAATAAATGGTTTTTTAACTGAAACTTATGAATCATTACACAAATATTATATCAAAATTCCTTACAGAATGAGCAATCGTTAGGACACAATTTCACAAATAATTAAGATAGTAAAGTTAATTTTTGATAGAGTTATAAATTATTATAAGTTATTATTAATTTTAAATACTAATATTAGATACAATATGACTGTATTCTTAAATACCTTCAGAGAATAATATTATCTTTATCTTTATTAACTGTCATCATCATACTTCATTATTAAGCAGATTTGAAGATAGTTTTATATTATCTGATTTTAATGAGTTTGTTAATAAATATAAAACTAAATATTTTTTGACATCTGAAGCTGAAAAAGCATTTGATGTATTAATTGATTCATTAAATCAATATTTTAATATGATTTAAGATATTACTGAAGATAATGTTAAGACAACTATTATAAAATGGTATACTAATGCGTTTATTAGAGAAACTGATACAGTACAAGCTAAAAGCAATTATTATAATTTACCTACTTTTAGTAATATTGCAATTAATATAAACGAAGATAAGTCTGAAATATATAATATATTTAATGGATTATGATTTGCTAAAGTAAGTTAAAGTTTTATTATTTAATTTGTTTGTTTCTTATTATTAAAAACTAAACTAATTTTATATAAAATAAAACTTTTGATGTTATTTAGCCTAAAAATTTCTGATCATAAAGAGCAAAAATTAGTATTTGTTCAATGTTACAATTTTAAAAATAATAATTCAAATAAGCTGCTTAAATATAATTGCTTATATATAAAGAGTATTTCAATATTTATTATTATAGCAGCAGATTCTATTATTAAACAAGTTCATATCATTCCTCGATTTAGCAAGTCTAATAAATATTTTATAAATTTATCTATGTTTTAAAATTTAAAAAAAGATGGAATTATTATTTTCTTAATATTTTATATCAAAAGATTTTACAATTAAACAGAATTTTTTTTAATAATAAAATATAAAAAATGTGAATATTCACTAAAATAAAATGTTGAACAATGTCAAAATAATCAATAAGCTGTTCAGTTTAATTAATAAAATGCCAAATAATGCTTAAATAATCAACAGGTTGTTCAATATTTTAATAGTAATAATTAACGTATTGTTTAATATATTAAAATTTCTATCTTTTATCAATGTATTGAATCATGTTCTCTGAACTTCCTGATGTTATAATATAATTAAATTACAACTCAATTAAAATTTGGAATAATTATTAAAACTATTTTTAGTTAAAATATTTATTTAGAAAATTAATATTATTTATATTTTCTAATAAGTTTATTAAAAAAAAATTTAATGTATATATTAAAATACTTATTTTACTATATAATGCTATCTAAAATACCTAAATTTATATCAATTTTAGCAATTTAAAAATTGAATTATATTTGTAGATATTTTATGAAGTGCAGAATATATTAAGCAGTAGGGTATTTTATCGTAATGATATTATATTATTGGTAATGAAGAATAAAATATGATACCTGTAAAATTATTATTATAATTGATTAAATTAATATTATGTTAAATTTAAAGTATTTTTATAATAAGTAATGATTTAATAAAGTATTAATTTGTTTTTTGATTAGATAAAAAAAAAATAAATAAAGTTAATTGTTAGTATTTTAAATATATTTTAAAAAATTAATTAATACATTTTATTACTTCTATATAAATAAATTACATCATTATATAAAGTTCTATTATTAAATAAATGTAATAGAATAATTAGTTTAAAATATTTTTTTATATTTAAGTATATATAATATTTTATATTAATAAGATTTTTATAAAATTAAATATAGGTAATCAAAAAATGAAATAATAAATACTTTTTATTTAATCTTATAAAATATTAATTTAAAATTATTATTCCTTAAAGCGTAAATATAAATTAGTTATAAAACATTGTAAAAAAATTATAATATTTAATATCTAATAATTATAAAAAAATGAAATAAAGTTTATTTGATTAGATCTATCTAATTATACAAAGGTAATCACGGGTACCCAAACGATTAATTAAACTATTTGAATTTACTTATTATATTAACTTTTTTTTTAGAATAAGCAAAAAATTTATTTGTT